CCAAAAGTGTCTCTGCAGAACAGAAAGAGCCAGACTACCCAAGTCTTAAAAGGGCAAGGGCACAACTGAATGGAGTTTGGGCAGGTTGATTTACAGTGTTAAGTTTATTATATCCTGTTTAGCTTTGAAATCGTGCTGGTGATTTTCTTATATTCCTTTGCTTCGTTCAAAAAGCAGCTCACCTCACACATGTATTCCACATACGATACCTAGGAAGGGCAAAAGAATCCTTCAGCAACCTTTGTATCATGTACTCAGCATCTCAGAACTGACTTAAAGGTGGAAAAACATACAAAGATCCCCTTGCAAGTGTCAATAGCTAGAAAGGCTATAGACATGTCTTTGTCCCAGGAACAGAGACCAGGCAGCTAGCAGACCTAATCCTCTCTGTTTCCTCCTCCCCCAGGTGTATCAGTCACCTCCAGTAACACGGGCGTGCCAGATATCTCGGGTTCTGTGTACTCCAAAACCCAGGTAGGTGCCTGGTTCTGGATGAAAGTAGCAAGAGCTAGATACAGAGAAGTTAAGAGTTACGAGTCTATAACCAGGAGTGGGAATGAGGAAGAAGGTAACCCAGGGCCCAAGTGAAGCAATGGTTACTGAGTTATCTGCAGTTATATGTGTTGTTGCCATTACCATAGACAGTTTGCTATAAAGTATTAGGAATTTAGGGAGAGTATTTCATAGCCTTCACCTTCCATACTCAAGATAACTCAGTATGTATTCATTTATTTTGAACTATCTAAGAATTTTAATACCTACTTAACTCAGAGACAGGGATGCCCAGACTAGCCAGCAAATTGCCCTATATTCACATGCAAGATAAACATTCACAAAATACATCTTCTATTTTGTTTTGTTGTGAGACAAGGTCTCTCTGTAGACCAGGCTGGCCTTGACCTCACAGTTCCACTTGCATCTGCCTCCCCAGTGCTGGGAGGTGCGTGCCACCACACACCTGGCTGCAGTGTAAGATTTTATGACGTCCTTTCACATTCTTCTTGATCCTACAAGGGATCAGCGGCATCTCTTTTATTATGAGGAAACTGAGGCTAGGAGAGTAATTTGTCTAGGATTATGATGCTATTAAAGGGTAGAGTTGGAGCAGAGATTTGAATATCTTCAAAACTTAGATATGCTGTTGCTTCTTGGTGTGCTTCTGAGGATAGGGGAGCTTGGGTCCAGAAGCTCCCAGGATTCTTTTGCTGATCCCTTTTACTCTTTCTCCTCCTGTCCTGGGATAGCAGTCCTTTGAAAAACAAGGGTTTCATTCCGGTACTCCTGCTGCCTCCTTCAACTTGCCTTCAGCCCTAGGAAGTGGAGGGCCCATCAATCCGGCCACAGCTGCTGCCTATCCTCCTGCCCCCTTTATGCATATTCTGACCCCCCATCAGCAGCCGCATTCCCAGATCCTTCACCATCACCTGCAGCAGGATGGCCAGGTAATAGCCCTTCACCCCTCTCTCCTTTCCCTTCCTCTTCCTTCCTATCCCTTAAAACTGCCTCCCTTTTCCTTTTCTTAACCTTCCTTACCACCACCTTCACCCAATCCTCACCAGTGCCAGCCAGGGGCACACAGCACATACAGACACAAGCGCACATAACACGAGCTGCTGGCAAAGCAAATGTGAGAGGATGGGCCAGATTGAAATCCTTTTGCCCACTTCCTTTGGTACCTTTCTCAACCTCCCATGGCACAGTTGTCCTCATTCCATCAGACCTGGGTCACACCTTCCCTTTTAACCTCCCCCAGCCTTCCCCCTTCCCTGACATTATAGCTTTCCCTTCTAATGGTGGAATTCTATTGTCAAAGTTTGTCCCTTTATTTTCCATATATCCTGGTTCTGCCTCAGCTACCATATTTGCAGATGATTCTCTGTTGCCAGCGCCAGCAGGAGGAGCAGGTAATGAAACTGAATGATGATATGCTTGAACCCACTCCTTTTTAGTCCCCATTTCACCTCCACGGCCTCAGATGACCTGAAAAGACTATGCAGTCACAAAACGGGATACACAAACAGAAACACATTGCTGAGCTCTCTGGCCTCCCCATCCTCTCTCTCTTCCTTCTCCCTTCAACACCCTCTTTATCTTTCTACCCTTCCCCAACTCTGGAAAACACTTGGTTACCAGAATGGAAAAAACTCTTGGGGCAGCATCTGGAGCCTGAAGCCTCAGGTTCTCTCCTGCCTTGTCTGAATTGGGTTCACAACTGATGTGTGGTGGTGGGTGGATCTGCTGGGTAGTATAAGAAACCTCTCAAGATTTCTAATATAGTTGGTTGGGCAACTAGAATAAGGGCTTGTTCTCAAAAACAGCTTTCCATATTGAGGCATTCATGGAGGTCAGTGAATCACTTTGTAATCACTCACCTTGAAAAGGCCATAATTCCCATAGTTGCCTTTTTTCAGACCAGGGCGGTGGGTAATGTGGATGACAGGTGAAGACTAAAAGAACTAACTCACCATCTTATCACCAAAGTTACCTTGTTCACTTTTCATTTATCCTCTACTTAAAAGTCAAAAATGTTGCCTTGTAAGAGAGGCTATGGAGACCAAATTTTCTGTGGTTGAAAAGTAAACTTCATTGTAAGTTCTAAGAAAAGGAAATTAGAGAGTATGACTGTTTGCACATCTCCACTTGAAGATGTTACAGATTGGTCCCACTAACTAGACACCTTTTTCCTCCTCCATCACCTTCCCATTCCCCTGCAGACGGGCAGCGGGCAACGTAGCCAGACCAGCTCCATCCCGCAGAAGCCCCAGACCAACAAGTCTGCCTACAACAGCTACAGCTGGGGGGCCAACTGAGGCCCTGACCCTCTACTCCCGGTCCCATCTTCTGAGAGGGCTTCTCAGCCTGAAAACTATGGAAACAGCATCAAAGAGAGAAAAGAATGTGGGGCAATTCCGCTGCTCCCCACCCCCAGCGGCCCACCCCACGCCTCAGCTTCATGTCTGTCCCATTCCCATACATCCCACCCTGTTGTATGTATTATAGGATTTGTATTTTCTCCTTTTTTCCCTCCCTTTCCTCTTCCTCCTTCCTCTTTGCATTCAAGATTATGAATCTTTGCTGTGGGCCCTGCTTTTTCTTCACTTCCTCCTGTTCACCCTGGTGGTGTATGGGTGAGGTGGGAAGGGGGACCTCCCCCCCCCAATATATATCAGCCCAACAGCCCTAAGTCTCCTTTATTATTAGGAAAACCAAACAACACAAAAATGGTGTCATGACTATGAGCAGCATTGTCAGATGAATTAGTTGAAGTGTTTTTTTTTTTTTTCCTGCTTTTTCTTCACTTCCTCCTGTTCACCCTGGTGGTGTATGGGTGAGGTGGGAAGGGGGACCTCCCCCCCCCAATATATATCAGCCCAACAGCCCTAAGTCTCCTTTATTATTAGGAAAACCAAACAACACAAAAATGGTGTCATGACTATGAGCAGCATTGTCAGATGAATTAGTTGAAGTGTTTTTTTTTTTTTTGTACTGTGTTACCTCAACCTTCAGCCTCTGCCCATTCTTGCTCCGTCTAGGATATCCTCACTCTCGTCGATGATCAGCTTGGTGAATAAGTATTACCGTACCAACTGGGCCTCCTCTAGCAGACTCGAAGGCCGTGGAATAAAGTGAAATCTTTGCCCTTTAAGAACTCCTCTGACCTTAATGTACTAATACTGTGCCCCTGAGGGGATTCCTTTTCCTTCATGCCCAAGACTGGAAAGAACCACTACAAATCATTTCTTCCAGAAACTGCCACATCTACAGCAAGTTTCAGGCAGTAATGGGGGAAGGAGATAGAGGTTGGATGGAAAAGGGAGATTAAGAAGGAGCTAAGAACATTCCACAGAAAAAGGACTTTTGGGGAGTCTTAAGGATCACTTAAGAGGATCCAAAGACAAGTCTGAGGCCAACATTTGCTGTTGGCTGGTAAACTTTAAAAGCTTGGACCAGTCCAATCTTTTGGTAGAAGCAGACTACTGTAGTTCCTGTTGCCTGAAGTTTTACTTGGTTTTGCTTATTGTTGTTTCAAGACAGGGTCTATGTAGCCCTTGCTGGCTTGGCATTCACTAGACCAGGCTGGTCTTGATCCACCCGCCTTTGCATCCTGAGTGCTGGGACTAAAGGAATGAGCCACTGCTCCTGGCCTTCCCTGAGTGTTTTAACATGGTTTGGAAAGGGGAGCCTTGTAGTGCAAGACGTGGGGCGGGGACAGGATGCAATGAAAGGCTTTGCATTATTTTGTAGAAAAGGGGCTTTTTCTTTTTAAGAGACTGGGACCTACCGTGTTGCCCAGGTTCCAAGAGATTCTACTAAAACCTTCCAAATATTTCAGAACTGCAGGCACCATTCTTGGCTTGGGGGCGGGGAGTGTTAAAAGTCCACATTCTCTGTTCCTTTCCGGGAAGCTTTCCTTCCCTAGCTAGCTACAAATCTTACCTCGTTTGTTGCAGTCTTTAAAAAGTTTAAAAGAATGATTTGGCTTTTAGTTTAAAAGATTTAGGCCGTGCGTGGAGCGCATGCCTGTAGTCCCAGCACTTGGGAGGCGGATCTCCGAGTTCAAGGCCAGCTTGGTCTACGTAGTTCCAGGACAGCTGGGGCTACAGGGAGACCCTGCTTCAAAAAGACCAAAAAAAAAAAAAAAGCCGAAGCGATTCCTAGCATCCCAAGTCATTGTAGTAGTTGGGAAATTGTGCTTCACAGCTTGGTACGCGGCTTTGCCCAACCTCTAGTGTTGACGTCACCTACGTCAATCTAGAAACGGGCACGGAGGTACTTTCCCCCCGGGCTGGCTAGGACTGGCGGTAGGGCTGCCCTCTGGCGGCTGCCCGCGGCGCTCTAAAGTCGAACCTGGAAGCACCTCACGGCGGAGCAGGCGGGAGAATGCTCTAGAGGGATTGGAAAGCGGGGAATTCGGCACGCCCACCCTCACACGACACTGAAAGGTAGCGGAAAGAGCGCTCCGACCACTTCCTCCTCCGGGTTATAATACTTTTACGACAATGTCGCGTCGCTGCGTACTTTCCGGCAGCATGCATTGACCCGTCGGGTTCCGGCAGCATAGTGTAGGCTGTCCCTTGATGCCCATGGGCTGCAGGAGAGGTTCAAAGGTTCCAGTCCCACTACGGGAATGAGTGTCTTTGACTTTTTCCGGGGGTTTTTCGGCTTCTCTGGACCTCGGAGGTGAGAGTAGTTCTGGGCTGATCTAAGGAGGGGTGTTGGGGAAGCTTGACCCCCTTCATTGTAGTTTTGTAAAACTTCCCCTCCCGCCCCCTTCAGCTGCTATGGGGAAAACAGATCGCGACTCACCCCGCCACAGTGACCAAAGCGGTCGTTAAGAGGAAAGATACAGCAGCCTAAACCCCTCCAGCCTAGGGTGATGATGCCACAGGGACTTGGGCGGAGAAGACAATGGGGGTCTGGGACAGAGGACAGTGAGCAAGTGAGCTGGACCTTGCGCGATAGGGAGGGGCTGTGGACACCAACAAAAAAAAAAAAAAACCTGGGGAGGTTGGGAGGTGAGGACAGACTGATGGAAACAGAACAGTACAAAACCCAAGTAGCTCCATCTGCGTTGATTGGATTTGGGAGGCAGTCCTCCAGTGTTTTCTCAGCTTGCCAGACCCCTCCTCTTGTCCCATTTTGCTGCCTAGGGTTGATTTTATAGTTTAAACAGTGGTTTTAAGATTTTAGTGGTTTATCTGCCTCCGCCCTCAGTCACAGAGATCCCTTTTTTGGAGGGATGACTCGAGATGAAAATGAGGATGATGAAGAGGAGGAAGAAGGAGCCACGTGGGGCCGTGGGAGCTGGAGGTTTGATGGTTCTCAACCTTCGGAGGAATTTGGCTTCAGCTTCAGCCCAGGAGGAGGGATGCGATTCCGCGACCACCTTGGTTTTGATGATCTAGTACGGGATTTCAATAGCATCTTCAGCGAGATGGAGGCCTGGACCTTGCCTTCCCACCCTCCTGGTGTGTGGATTTCCCTTGGGGAGAACCTGTGTTTTTTCTAGTTGGGCTGGTTGGTGAAATAAGCCTGCAGAGTAGTTAGGGAATGGAAAATATGAAAAGACTGATGAAGGCCGGGCATGGTGGCATATGCTGCAGGGAGACCCTGTCTCAAAAAGACCAAAAAAAAAAAAAAGTGATGATTTCAGAAAGATTTAGAATGTCTTGAGTACCCCACCCCCTACCCCCAGCATCCACCTGCCACCTTTCTGCAGAACTTCTAGGTCCTGAGTCAGAAACTGGTGAAAGACTTCGAGAGGGGCAGACGCTTCGGGACTCGATGCTTAAATACCCAGATAGTCACCAGCCCAGGATCTTTGCGGGGATCCTGGAAGGTGATGCAAGAACGGAATCCCCCAAACCAGATTGGGAGTCCCAGGGACCTTTTCATAGGGTGAGTACTCCACCTGGGCCTGAAGTAAGCAACTCTGAGAGACCATTAAAGTACAACTAGAATTCTTACTGGATTCTGATAGGCTTGGGTTGGAATTCTAGCTCTTCAATTAATGCATTTACCTGGTTTTACTTTTTGTTTTGGGCTTTTTGTTGCAGTAACAGTACTTAGGAAAAATAGAATCCATGGGAAAATAGAAATCCTTTTTTTTTTTTTTTTGCCTTTTTGAAACTGGGTCTCCCTGTAGCCCCAGCTGGCCCTGAACTTGCTATATAGACCTGCCTCTGCCTCCTGAGTGCTGGGATTAAAGGTGGGTGCCAGCATGCACAGGTAGAAATTCTTAATTTCTATTTTGGGCTTTTTATTGCTGTTTTTACAATACTTGGGGTAAAATTCAAAGGAAAATAGGAATTCTTTCACAGTGGCTGATCTGGCTTCTTGGTTAAGGAAGGATTGTTGGAGAGGTCAGAAAGGTATTTCAGGAGAGCTTTTGGTTAGAAGTATATATAAAACGAAGGAGTAGATACATAAAGCTATCTGAATGGAAGTATTTCTGGGGAAAGGGTTTTGAAACTAGGGAGTAGTTTGGGGTCTCTGACCTTTTTAGGTTTCAAATTGAAGGTATCTTTTCACCTACTGTATATGGCTTCTTCGACAGTTTGATGATATATGGCCTGTGACTCCCCATCCTAGAGCCAGAGAGGACAATGGTGAGTCTAGCAGGAGGACACCATAGGCTGTTCTCTCTCAGAAGTTTCTACCTGTGACACTTGTCCCTTTTTAATTTTTTTTCCCTTCAACTGCCTCCTGGCTCTTCATTTCTATGCCCTTCCAGATCTTGACTCCCAAGTTTCCCAGGAGGGTCTTGGCCCAGTTCTTCAGCCCCAGCCCAAATCCTATTTCAAGAGCATCTCTGTGACCAAGATCACTAAGCCAGATGGGGTGAGTTGAGAGAGAAGAGTAAAGAAACTATAGCCAAAGAATACTCTGGAAAGGGGCCTGTATAAAAAAATACTGAACTCGACTTTAGTGATGTTAGGAACATGTTGGGGGCTTCTCTTTATAGATAGTGGAGGAGCACCGCACTGTGGTGGACAGTGAGGGCTGGAGGGAGACCACGGTAACCCGTCAAGAAGCAGATGGCAGTCCCAGAAGTGGTAAGTTGAGAGTATGAATCAAAAGGGCCCATCTCTTAACTCCTTGGGGAAAGGATACTCTTACCTTTGATCCTTTTTCTAGATCTTGTTTAATCTATTTATATGGATGACTTTCTTCCTTAGACCTCGACTTACCAAGACCTCCAGCTCTGGATGATGCCTTTTCCATCCTGGATTTACTCCTAGGACGTTGGTTTCGGTCCCGGTAGCTTTTTAACTTTCAGAAGTATTCAGATCCTTTCCACTCCCCCACCCATTGTCGGTTGCCAATAAGCATAGCTTTTTCTGTCACCCCAAGCATCTTGAGTATGTAAAACAATGAATTGAGGTCTGTCTGTCATTTACCAAAACTGACCAATAAAACCTTTATTTATGCTAATGGCCTTGTTCCTGGTTTTGTTTAGGCTCTTTCACTTTCCAGATCCATCTAGGGCTTCCGGAATACCTTGGTTTATGGCAATCTTTTCTTTTTTTTAAATTTTATTTGTGTATATGGTGTACATACCATGTCCCTGCACTGCAGTGAATGTGTAGAAGTCAAAGGAACTTGTGGGAGTTGTTTCTTCTTCCACCATGTGGGTTCTAAGAATCAAGCTCAGGTCCTAAGGCTTGGCAGCAGGGATCTTTACCCACTGAGCCATCTCTTCAGCACTTTTTTTAAAAAAATTTTGTTCTATTTCCAGAACCAGATTTAATCATTGAGAGAAGAAAATGGTTTTATTACTGAGGAAATAGCTAGAGATAATTCCAGTAACATTTATTTATATCGGTTGCCAGAAGTGTGTATATAAAAGCAAATCCTGAGTCCATCACTCTCGAGTCCAGCCTTAGAAAACAAGAAAAATGAGGAGGAACCCAATAGAGGGATGGTTTTCGAAGCCCTTGTCAAGAAATTCCAATGGAGTCTCATATGATCATTTGAAAACTGCCCTGTTCTGACTTTTTTCTAGTTCCCTGTCTAGAACTTGTAATGCTAATTACTCTTGCCTTTACTTCTTCACATCTCCTATTAACCAGTCAAGGACTTTCTTTTGCCCCTAGAGATAAGAGTTATGCAATTTGGGAGTCTTTTAGATAGACCCACTGAAGGGGTACTCCAATTGCCTCACCCTGCGTCCCGTCCCTGTTCAGTGTGGAAGAAGCCAGAGCGGTCTGCGTCCCTATTTCCTATTGGCAATTTGGGTAACCTCTTCAGAGGATGGTGTGATAAGAATAGGAGGGTAGGAATTGGCTAGACAGTTAGGGTAAAAAGACTCTAAAGAAAAGTAGCCAGTTTCTTGGCTAAAACTCACAATGTCCTTGGGCCTCTTAGCAACATACTCTGTTCCAAAGGCCAAAAATGTCAAAAGTATTTGGGAGTTTTTATCTAATCCTTAAAAGATTTTAGGGTTACCTCTTCAGAGGGGGGAATGTTAGAGTAGCCAAAACCCCCATTTAAAAAAAAAGAAGAGAGTACATGAAGTTACCAGAAAAAAGTGATGGGGAGATATGGGAGGAGTTGGAGGGGAGGGAGTGGGCATGGATTTGAGCAAAACACCTTATATACATGTATGAAATTCTCAATAAATTTTTTTTTTTTTAAGTAAGATAGAAGCTGGGTGTGGTGGAGACACCTTTAATCCCAGCACTCTGGAGGCAGAGGCAGGTGGATCTCTGTGAGTTCAGGGCCAGCCTTGTCTACATAGCAAGTTGCAGGCCAGCTGGGGCTACAGGAAGACTGTCTGAAAAAGGCCAAAAACCAAAAGAAAAGAAGCCCTGGAGGGTGAGCATGTGATATACATAGTATACAACAATGTGATATACACAGTATACAACAAAGTATGTGATATATATAGGTGAAGGCAGAGCAAAGAAATTCAAAAGAATTTTGTACAATGACACACACCAATAAACACACCAAGAAGAAAATCAAAAAAAGAAAAAAGTAAGATGAGCTTCTTTGAGTATAACACCACTGAACAGTTCATGAAGTATTTGCAGTGTGTGGGCAAATATTTCTTTATTGGCTTTATTTAGAGGAAAAAAAGCCCCCAAAACATGGGGCTAGAGAGATAGCTCAGTTGTTAAGAGCCCTGGCTGGAGTACTTGCTGCTCTTTCAGAGGACCAGAGCTCAGTTCCTAACACCCACATTGAATGGCTCATAACCACCTATAACTCCAGATTGAGGGGCTCTGAAACAGCAAAATGAACTTCAGTGGTAGCACACATGTGCAAAATGCCTATCATTTGAGCACGAATGGCAGTTACGAAGATCGTGATTTCTAGACCACCCTCTACTGTGTGGAGAAATGCTTAGTGCCCAAGGAGCCAGGAGGCCATCCAGATACCTTAGAACTGAAGTTGGATGGTTATGAACCACCATGTGGGTGCTGGGAACCAAACCTGGGTCCTAATTGTTCTTTACTGCTGAACCATTTCTTCAGCCCCAGAAACCCTATTTTTATTTTTTCTTAAACTTCAAAGACATTTTTATTTTATGTGTATGCGTGTATTGCTGGCATGTAGGTAAGTGCACCCTTGTCATGCAATGCCCAGGGAGGTCAAAGACTGTCGGATCCCCTGGAACTGGAGTTACAGACAGTTGTTAGCTGCCATGTGGGTGCTAGGATTCAAACCCAGGTCTTCTGCAAGAACAGCCAGTGTTCTTAACCGCTGAGCCATCTCTCTAGCCCCCCCCTTTTTTTTTTGAGACAGGGTCTCCCTGTAGCCCCAGATGGCCTGGAACAAACTATGTAGACCAGGCTGGCCTTTAACTCACAGTGATCCACCTGCCTCTGCCTCCCAAGCGCTGGGATTAAAGGTGTGTGCCACCATGCCTGGCCACAGCCCCTATTTTTAAATATATATAGTTTGGCACTATGATTAGGAATGACAGGTTTTGCACATTTATTTACCTATGGCCTCAGAAAAAAGCACATTGAAATTTTTTTAAGGTACACTATAAAAATCAAGGACAAATGATGGCAGTTTAAAAACAAAACTGTCTGCTGCTTCCCTGGGCCTGCACGACCCGCAGGCCTCTCTCTGGGTAAGTCTATTGCGCCCTCTGCACCTTGACTCCCCCAGCCTCATTCACCCTTCCATCTCCCCTGCCCATCTCTCCTCCTAACTCTAAAGAGATAGATGTTCTGCCAAGGGTGTTGTGACGCCTTTAATCCCAGCACTCGGGAGGCAGAGGCAGGCGGATCTCTGTGAGTTCAAGGCCAGTCTGGTCTACATAGTGAGTTCCAGGTCAGCTGGGACTACAGGGAGACCCTGTCTCAAAAAAAAAAAAAAAAGAAAAAAAAGAAATGTCAAATACCCTAATGACTCATTCCCAGGCACCAGGCTCTCTTCCTAGATCAACCTTGTATAAGGTTTTACAGGACCTTGGCCATCAACCCAGCAAGCCTGCTGCCAGATGAGGACTCAGAGGAACCCCTGCATGACTGCATTGAGGAGACTGACCTGATCCAATCTACTGGACTGGATTTGATTGATGTCCCACTGCCAGAGGCAAATGAGGTACTGTACATGGATAGAAACAGCTTCACCCAAAATAACATCAGGTATGCTGGGGCTGCAGTCCAATGGGGAAAAAGACAAAGCCATCACTGTGTATACCAACAGCTAGTATGCATTTGCCATCACTCATGTGCATAGGGCACTGTATCAGGAGAGAGGGCTCCTTCCAAAAAGACTCCACTGAGGCACAAGGAATAAGAACTGTGGGGTGGGGGGTATGGCTGGAGAGATAGCTCAGCGGTTAAGAGCACTGGCTGTTCTTGCAGAAGACCCGGGTTTGAATCCTAGCTTCACATGACAGCTAACAACTGTCCGTAACTCCAGTTTCAGGGGATCCAATGACCTCTTCTGTCCTCTGTGGGCATTGAATGACACAGGTGCACTTACATGCATGCAGACAATACATACATACGTATAAAATAAAAAGAATAAAATAAAATAAAAATAAATAAAAAGGACAGTGGATCTGGCTGCTTGGGAGATGGCCCTGGAACCGGTGGGGGCCCTCCAGGACCTGGTCATATTGCCAAAACTAAGCCTGCCTCACAAGTCTGCCTACACACCAAAAGAAAAAAACAAAACAAAACATGAATAATGTTCCCCTAGCTAGACTATATCGCCAAAGCCTACCTGTGCCCAGGTAAACTTAAAAAAAAAGTACCTGAAGGAATACATGCCCATGACACTATGCCCAGGGAACAGTGAAAACTGGACTTTACTGAGACTAAACCAACTGGCTTCAGGTACAAGTATCTTTTGGTTTTCATAGACACATTTTCTAAATGGTGGGAAAGCTTATCCCACCTGGACTGAGATAGCCTCCTTAGTGACAAAGAAACTACTCCAAAAATTAGTTCCTAGGTTTAGATTGCCCCTCACCTTGGGGTCCAAAAAGGGCTTCATGGCCAAACCTCTCAAAATGTGACCAAGGCATTAAATATCAATTGAAAGTTACACTATGTCTGTAGGCTATAGAGGTCAGGATAGGTAGAAAGAATAAACAGAACCTCAAAGGAGACCTTAACCAAATTGGTTGTAATAACAGATGAAAGTTGGGCCAACCTCCTTCCCTTAGCCCTACTCGGAGCTAGGTGTGCTCCATACCAGGAAGGATTACTAATCACTCCCTCTTCAAATCATTACAGACTGCAACAGGCCCAGAGGGCCATCTGCCAGATGGTCCGAGGAGCTGGTGTCCAGTCTGCCTCAAAAGGAGTCCACAAATTCCAGTCCAGTGACTTGATATGGGACAGGAGCATCCCAACTCAAACTCTGGAACCATCCTGGAAGGGCCTGTATCCTGTGATCCTTACTACACCTACAACAGTGAAAGCAGCTGGGATCTCCCCATGGATCCATCACACACACTCAGTTAAAGAAAACTACAAAAGAAACCAGAAAATAGACTGTCACTCAGACCTTCAACCCTTTAAAGACTGACAGGAGCTCCCTGATTGTTACAACTGTACTATGGCTTCTTTTCCTGCTAGGGGAATTACTCAAAAAAAAAAAATACTAAAAATGGTAAAGTCCTTGCAACTGTGACTATTGGACAATAGTCCCAGTTACCCTGACCCAAAGCCCTAAAACAGGCCTAAATGTACATCCTCTAACCAGTTCGGGGATCCAGGAGGAGGGGGTTAGGGTCCTACTCATGGCCCTGACAGTTGGACCTTGTCTGATCAATTACCTGAGTAGCTATATTAGACAACGAGTAAATACAGTAAAAATCATGGTCCTAAGAAAACAATATAATCTCCTGGATTAGTCTAAGATTTGACTCATGCCCATAGAACCAGTGGGGAATGTAATAGGGCACTTTCTTGACCATAGCTATGTCATGTTAAAGTGTAGGCTAACTCATGCCACGTGTG